TTTCAGGCAGCTGGAGCTTCTGGTTATTATTTGCTCATTTGTTTAGTGACTTGGTTGAAATATTTCATTTAAGTCTGTTTCTCCCATGGTATGAAGCTTCTGATGTACCTCAGAGTATCCAGCCTTGAATGAGCATACATACAATTATCCTTCAATGACACTGATGACACTGGTTTTAGCAGAATTCTTTTTTTTTTTTTTTTTTTGAGACAGAGTCTTGCTCTGTCACCCAGGCCAGAGTGCAGTGGTGTGATCTTCGCTCACTACAACTTCCACCTCCCAGGTTCAAGAGATTCTCCTGCCTCAGCCTCCTGAGTAGCTGGGACTACAGGTGCATGCCACCATGCCCAGCTGACTTAGCAGGACTCTTTGACTGTCTCTTCCCCTGATATCTTTGCTGACCTTTCTGTCTTTTTTGATATCACAGCCAGATATTAGGTTTCTCTAATTGCCAGCTGATTATGCTACTGTTTTCAACAATGTCCTCATGCATAAACTGTACCACAGTCTGATTCAATTAAATGTAGACTCCTTTGTGAGGCCATTTTGAGGCCAGTCTTTGAGGTTTGTTCCTATCCCATCAAGACGACTCCTAGCTATATCTAGTTCTGGTTTTCTCTGATAAACCAGCTGCTATACTTTTAGCTGCTACTCCTCATTCTTAAGTGTTTACCATTAAAATCTTCATTGTTCAGAGCCCCATTAGGTTGGAACTTTCCCATACTCCACATAAAGTTAGTTCTTTGAGGAGAGCTTCAGAGTTCCTGTTGCTAAGGTTGCTTCCCAGGCTGGGCAAATTCTCTGAGCCATTGCTCCAGCACCCGGTTGGGGACAGTGGCCTACTTCTCTTGGAGTGACATTTCTCCTTTATGAGAAAGACAGTGGGTGAGGGTGGTAGCCTCTGGACTTCTCAGCTTGCCTCTCCCATGTGGAACCTCTCTCCTTTCTATAAACAAAATTAGGTGAAAGAGTTGAGGCCCTAGTTTTTTGGCCTGCTGAGTGGAGTCAGAGCTTTTTGGCCAGATCTCTGCCCTATGGGAAGGAATCCAACAACTTCTTGGTGGTACTCTTTAGAATTTGGTATCTGCAACATGAAGCTGAGGGAGTTAAATATACTAGCCATCTGCCCCTCCTATGGAGATACTATAGCCCTTGACTAGAAGCTGGAGGGAAACGGAGCCCCATCTTCCTGGCCACACAGTGCTGAATTGAAGCTTCGGTCATGCTAATCTGGGGGTGAGGGGAGGCAAAAAGCAGGTCATAACTCAAGGGCCACAAATTATTTTTACTGAGATTTAGCAGCTTTTCTCAAATAAATGTTTTCTTGTTTGATGACTTGTTATGTAACCTTAGGATAATTTCCAGAGACTTTGAATAGTTTTTTTTTTAAATAGTTTTCACTAGTTATGGTTTTTCTGCTGAGGATGGTTCTGTGGAACTTCTCTCAGACCACCATTTAGGTACTGATAATTTCCACTCTGTATCTCTGAAGTACAGAGGTTATTAGCAAACTAGCATTACTGTATAAATAACTTTATTTATATATGCATACCTTGGAGATATTGCAGGTTCAGTTCTAGACCACCATAATAAAGTGAATATCGTAACAAAGCAAATAACAAATTTTCTGGTTTCTTAGTATGTATAAAAGTTATGTTTACACTACACTATAGTCCATTAAGTACAATAGCCTATGTCCAAAAAATGTACATGCCATAATTTAAAAATACTTATTGCTAAAAAATGCTAATGACCATCTGAGTCTTCAGCAGGCTGTAATCTTGTTGTTGGTAGATGGTCTTGCCTTCATGTGTATGGCAGCTGCCGGACCTAGGGTGATGGCTGCTGAACACTGGGACAGCTGTGGCAGTTTCTTAAAATAAGACAACAATAATGTTTGCTGCATTGATAGATTCTTCCTTTCATGAAAGATTTCTCTGTTTGTTGGCACTTTACTCAAGTAGGACTTTCAAATTGGAGTAAATTCTCTTGAACTCTGCTGTTGCTTTACTAAGTTTATGTAACAGTCTAAACACTTTGTTGTCATTTCAACAATGTGTACAGTAGCTTCACGAAGAGTAGAGTCCATCTCAAGAAATTACTTTATTTGTTCATCCTTAAGAAGCAACTGTTCATTCAATTTTTATAATGAGATTGAAGCAATTCAGTGACATATTCAGGCTCTACTTCCAATTCTATTTATTTGTTTTTTCCACCATGGTAACTGTTATTTCCTCCACCAAAGTCTTGAACCCCACAAAGTTATCCATGAAGGTTGGAATCAACTTCTTCCAAACTCCTTTACATGTTGATATTTTGACCTCCTCTCATGAATCATAAATGTTCTTAATGGCATTTAGATTGGTGAATCCTTTTCAGAAGGTTTCAATTTACTTTTCCCAGATCCATCAGAGGAATCACTGTCTATGTCAGCTATATAGCTTTACAAAATGTGTATCTTAAATAAGACTTGAAAGTCAGAATGACCCCCTTATCCATGCACTGCAAATGGATGTTATGTTGGCAGGCATGAAAACAACATTTATCTCCTTGTACATCTGCATCCGAGCTTTTGGTTGACTACATGCATTGTCAATGAGCAGTAATAGTTTGAAAGAAATGTCTTTTTCAGAAGTTTGCAATATTCAATAGACCATGCTGTTAGCAGATGTGCTGTCACCTAGGCTTTCTTGTTCCATTTATAGAGCAGAGGCAGAGTAGCTTTAGCATATTTCTAAGGGCTCAAGAATTTCTGAAATGGTAAACAAGCACTGGTTTTAACCTAAAGGTGTCAGCTGCATTAGACCCTAACAAAAGAGTCAGCATAGCCATTGAAACTTTAAAGCCAAGCATTGACTTCTCCTCTCTAGCTATGAAAGTTCTAGATGGCATTTTCTTCCAAAAGGAAAGCTGCTTCAACTACATTGAAAAATCTGTTGTTTAGTGTAGCCCCCTTTATCAATGATCTTTGCTAAATCAGGATAATTTGCTATAGCTGCTACATTACATCAGCACTTGCTGCTTCACCTTGCACTTTTTAAGTTACAGAGATGGCATTTTTCCTTCAACTGCATGAACCAATCTTTGCTAGCTTTCAGTTATTCTTCTCCAGTTTCCTCTCCTCTCTCAGCCTTGATAAAATTGAAGAGAGTTAGAGCCTTGCTCTGATTAGGCTTTGGCTTAGAGGAATGTCATGGCTAGTTTGATCTTCTATTCAAACTACTAAAATTTTCTCCATATCAGCAACAAGGCTGCTTTCCTTTTTTATCATTCATGTGTTCATGAGAGTAACACTTTTAATTTCTTTCAAAAACTTTTCCTTTGCATTTAAAACTTGGCTGTTTGGTGCAAGAGGCCTAGCTTTTGGCTTATCTTGGCTGTGGGCATGCTGTCCTCACTAAGCATAATCATTTCTAGCTTTTGATTTAAAGTCAGAGACATGTAACTTTCTTTCAATTGAACATTTCAATGCCACTGTAGGGTTATTATTAGCCTAATTTCAATATTGTTGTGTCTCAGGGCATAGAAAGGCTGGAGGAAAGGGAGAGAAATGGGTAAGAGCTGACTGGTAGAACAATCACAACACTAATATTTATCAATTAAGTTTGCCATCTTAAGAATGCAATTTGTGGCATTCCAAAATAATTACAGTAGTAACATCAAAGATCACTAAGCACAGATTACTAAAACAGATATAATAATAATAATAAAGTTTGAAATATTGTAAGAATTACCAAAACCTGACACAGATATATGAAGCAAGTGCATGCTGTTGAAAAACATTGTGCTGATAGACTTGCTCAATGCACGGTTGCCACAAACCTCAAATTTGTAAAAATAACAATATCTGTGAAGCACAATAAAGGAAAGCACAATAAAGTCAGATATGCCTGTATATTAAAAAATGTACAGAGTACTAAGAATTAGGTACAGGGCTACATTTTAGCTATATAAGAAAACTTTTAGAAGATTTTTGTATTCTCCAACTTTTAATTAATAACTAACTTTATATTAAAATGAAATTTTAAGTCCACTATTTAAAAAAATAAAAAATTTTAATTATGCACTTGAAATCACAAGAATCTGTTAAAGTTGTTTCTGGGTTATTTAAAATTTAAACTTTATAAATAAGTCTTATAAAGTCTTTATACTTTAGCTCTTGGAACATATGATAAACCTTCTTGAGAGATTCTTATTTAACTTTAACTTCTCTCTTAAACATATACACCAACAGCATTATCAAACAAAAACCTGCTCATACAAACAGCAGGGACCAATTTACATTTAATCAAGCAGAAATTGCTGCGTAGAATCTAGGTATTTCCTCTATGACATTTGTATTGACATTCATTCAAAATCAAATTATTAATATATATGTGTAATCTTTTAAAGAAAGAATATCATGTCAGCAATTCTATATAAATTACATATTTTCTATTTATGATAAGTGGTTTTATTCTAGTGGAGATGTGAAAAAGTAAGAATCTAAGCATCCACAATATCAGCAAATGAAATGATCTAAGGATAATCATGACACTACAAATTGATTTTGAAATATTATTTATTCAATATCTTTAATTTAAAAAGTATCATGAAAAATGCTTCCTCCAAACATCTTGGAATGACTTAAATATGAATTTGACATCTGATTTAAGCATCTGTGCCAATAACAAAGATAGAAAACTCACCTGCCAATACCTCCTTGTTGTTCCATATATGACAAAAGGAACACATTGGGAACTCTTATTCTCCTATCTAATCCCACAGTAAGAACAATAGATAACCCTTTCCCTCAATGTGATGTACAGAATCAATGCAATCCACGTGAAATTACAAAAAAAAAAAAAAATAGGAAACCTTTCCCAAACTTACAACATTTCATCTGACAAGTATGCCATGGATTACAAAAGGATTTAGTCAACGACAGAGATCTCTCCTAAAGTATCATGATTTAGAGAAACTAAAACAAGAACACTATATACTTTAATTTTTAAACTTACCTGATATAAATAATCTTCAAATACAAAATAATAATCATCATTGCTTGCTGTCAACTTCACATCCTATAATTAAAAGTAGACAGTACTGAAAAGAACCCAAATGAATCTGTCTGTAGTACTAAAGCACACACACAGTATTCAGAAGCATTACTGTAATAAATTTATTACTTTGTGATCATAAAGTTCGCAATTAGATTTTAATATTGCTATATAATTACTTGACTAATATATGTGACGTTATTTGACCTCAAATTCCTCATACTTTTTAAGATCCCTTTATTAATTCTTATTAATTATTTATTCTTTCAATTTTATCTCCTTTTAGTCTAATATTTAGATGGCTTAAAGCTAGAAAAGAAAAGCAGATGCAATCACAACATTCAAAAGCAACCATAACAATCTGGCCCCAAATTACTGTTCCAGGCTCACTGTTGAAGTCTACATTCTTGCCATTACTGCAAAGACCAAATATCCTCCTTGCCTTTGTGATTATTCACTTGCAAGTCACCACTTGTTACAGAGAGAGCAGGAACATTGATTTTCTGTATTATGAGTTTACGAGCTAGTTCATTGACTTCCCCTGGATAGTGCATTAGTCCCTGGATAGTGTATTAGTTTCCCTCTTTAAATATATTCCTATTCTCACTTTCTGACTTGAGTCTACCTTGATGATTTCCATGAGCCTCACTATGAGACTTTAGGCACTTGGAGCTCCAACGTCTTAAATGTTTTTTATATATGTAGCACTACCACAGTGCCTAGGACCTAAATACCCAATACACGTTTGACGAGTGAATAAAAATAAAAATGATAAAATTATTAACAGAAATTAATTACATTTTCCCGTGATATAATTCACCAGTTTATAGTACCCCTCCTCCAATAACAAGCAAAAAAATGAACAAAAGTCTAAAAAAATAAACCAAAACACGTGTGTTTCCCCATGATTATCTCTGAATATTGTATCCAGAGTTGGAAGCTGCTGCTTGTGTGCTTCAGTGTAAAGAACATGAAATTCCAACAGATTTAACTAAGATTTGAAGTCCAGTTCCCTACTTTTAGCTGTAAGACTGGTCAGTAACTCTGAGCCTAGATCTCCATATCTGTAAATGGGGATACCACCACCTACTTCAGAAAGGATGGGTAAATGCCTAGCACAGTATCAGATACAGAGTAGATATCCAGAAAACTATTTTAAAAATTCACCAAAAGCCCCTTTACTTACAATAGTGTCCATCTATTTATAAGTAAATATAGAACCCAAACCTTATATGTATCTAAAAACTCCAGACCTACACTACACCACACTTTTAGACCCAATATATAATCAATTCAACAAGTACTGATTGATTGCTTGGGATGAAGGATACGAAAATCAAAACTTCAACAAACAAACAAAAAAGAAGACAAACAAGAAAAGAAGAAAATATTTATTGTCAAGAAGTCTACAATCTCACTGGCAAGACAGTGAAAACATGAGAAAATTACAAAGAAATGTTATAAAAATTCACGGTCAAATAGATCAGTCTACAAAATTCAACCAGGCTGGTGAGCAAAGTAGCAATCAGGGGAGGATGGAAAGAGCAATAGATGACTCTGGGGGTAGCAAATGTATGCTAAGTCTGAAAAAACCATAGTGACACAGATTAAGGAGAAAGAAACAGTCCAGGCTTCTATGTCAGAAGACAGCCTGGACAAAAGTAGAGATTATGCATTCTCAACAGGGGTGATATTACTGCCTCTGTGGGCATGAAAACTGGTTCTTGGAGGTCAACAAATTTTACATATGACAATGGTATGTAGCCATCTAGAGCTCATTCCTACCCACCCAAATCTTATTTTTTGTTATTTACTTTTTCTTATTAGAGAGAAATTAATTAATCTTTCTCTTCAGGAGCATGATAATGAAGAAAGGTTGAAAAACACTAGTATAAATTATCAGATTATAGTAAGAAAATGGTTGAAAACTATAGAAAGTATGGATAAAGGCAAGTTTGTTCACACACACACACACACACACACACACACACACACAGAATCATTTAATAAATTAGCCTAGGGAGGGTTCAGTGACATTCTGTACTCAGAACATCATCGACTCAGAACATCTAAGACTGTTTCCATCCTCCCCGATTGCTACTTTGCTCAATAGCCTGGTTGAATTTTGTAGACTGTTTGAGCTATTTGACCACGGATTTTCTAACATTGCCTTGTTCCACTCATTCCTTTAACCTTTAAAAGAACTCTACCTTGTTTTCAGTTAAATTTAAAATAAGTCTTTGCTATAGGGAGCTATAACAAAACTGAGTATTTTTTTAATGATGATTCTCTTAACAGCTGACTTGAATAATGTTTGGAGTGATCAGCAGAGCCCAACTAACTCAAGTCAAAAATAACCAGAGACAGACATCTTCCTAAACACATTCATGTTGTGCAAAGGATTGATGCCATCAGAACTTGTATTCAATTTATCAGGCACAAACCACTTTCTTCTTAGAACAGATTTTCTTTACTGAGTCCAACTGAAATTCATTTTGGTGACAAAGAGAACTCTCATGCTAGCACTTCTTACTTTTTCGAGCTTTTTCACGTGTGAGTTTCCTCTCATTTGATTAGAAAAGAGGTTAACGGTTTTACAGGCCAAAAGACCTTTTACAGTTTCAATAAAATAATCCACTGAGCATAATAATTTGACCAAGTCAACAGTAGTACCTGTGATCCAAATCTAGTGAAAAACCTCTGTGAGATTCAAGACTTTCCATCAAAGGACCATATCCTCTAAACTCTCATTTTCCACTTACTGTAGAGCTTAGTGGTTAAGGATACAGTTCTGAAGTCAGATTGGTTAGGTCTAAATCTTGGCTTCACTACTTAATATGTGAATTTAAACAAACTTCTTTCTTAATCTCCATTCCCTCATTTGTAAAATGGCAAAATAACTACTTTCTGTTTTGTTAAAACACACGTGTTGCTATGTTGCTGGTAACGGAATGATATCAGTTTAACATGAAAGTTGTGTTGGTTCAGATGCAATTTTTCTTAAGCAAGACGAGTCAGAGCAGAGGGAGGAGAATTATAATCAGAGCAGGAAAGAAAGACGTCTTCAGCTCAGCTGCTGCTGCACAGGCATGAAGCTGTATAGCTGCATCTTAAGAACATTAAAAACGGACACTGGCACTGGGGCTCCCTCTCCAGAGAGGCACATTCCCAGCCGGTACATTTCTCTGTTGCTGTTCTTCTTATGCTCACCTTAACAGTAGCCCCAGTGGCCCAGAGCGCCACTTCCACTTGCATTATTTAAGCATTTCTGTTTTATTTGTTTCGTGTATTTTTAATAGTTCCTACCAGACCAGCCTGCCTGAGCTGTCTGATTCTTCTCCCAAGCCACCAATGTTTGCTTTTGTTAGTACTCTGATTATAAAGTTGCAAAAGTTTGAGTGTGTCTACCCCAACCCTGTTTTGCCTATAAGCTGTGTTGTTTTTAATGAATGGTTTTGCAGAATGCAAGTTTTTCCCCAGAAAAACAATGCATTTATCATTCATAGCCTAAATGTTAATATCTGCTACTCTTAGGTAGTTGTATGCATTAAATAATAATCCATGTAAAGGGTCTGGAATACTATATGGCATAGTAAGCATTCATTTGTTACTAAAAGTTATAATTACCCCTGGACATGTTCTACTCAAATTTTCAGGTCCTCAATGTGTAATCTTCTTTTCCCCATTTCTGAGGCCTGAGATAATATGCCTTTCTCCATTATAATTCAAATCTAAATTCAAAATCCAAGACTTTTAAGCTGCCTAAGATTAACTCAGAATTATTTGTATCCTATATTACACTTAAAGTGTTAGCTACACCAGACCAATCTGGTTCAACTTTTATGTAACACAGTTATGAGCTGTTTTTCAGTTGCGATGCACTGCCCCCAAGTTGAAGGTCATGTAACCTGAGCATGCCCAAAGGAACCAAGCATGCAACCACAGGTGGAACCTGTGTGATAGGACTAAGGATTGGGGTCTAAATTATGAAGTGGATACCATATGGCAGTATCCAGGATTCAATCAGATCAAGCCCTGGCATCACCGGCAGAATCCAGTCTGCTCAAACCTTTCTGGCTATAAAAACCCAGTGCTTTGGTGTTTGGCTTCCTATTGTGTACTGGAAAATGGACCCTGTTTGGCTCAGTGACAAAAGCATCAACTCAGCTCTCAACTTGATTATCAGATGCTTGCAGGCAAAAACTCAATGTATCTCTACCTTAAAACTTGAGATATACTTAGCCACATGTCTAGAAACTAAAAGAAATTAAAAATTAAAATGTAATTTTTGGTCCTCTTAGCTCGGAAAAAGAAAAAAAATTAAAATGACTTCAATATAAAGAGAATAAAAAACTAGGCCCTAAAGAATAATAAGATAAAAATATTATATTCTGATATTCTTTTCAGTTCCTTTTTTGTTTGTGTAGAAACCTTGAACTTACAGAGATAAAAAAAATGCTTATTCTCTTATAGGGAAGAAGATTAACAAAGAATGCAAGCTGCAAATTTTGAACACCAAATTTATATTTATACATCAAATGACTTAAAATTATTTTTCAAGGTTAATGTATATCATTATGTATATCAAGGTTAATGTATATCAATATGCAGGCTCTGCATATTGAAGAATCTCAATTTTTAATGATATTAATGAAAAGGAAAAAACTAAGTTCACTTTTACTTACTTTATAAATTAGACTGTCCACCAAAAGGTCATGTTGTATCACATTGGTCTTAAGCTGCTCATAATACAAGACATCCTAAATTTAAAAGTAAAACAAATATTAAAGCTCAATCACATTTATAAAGTCAGCCTCAAACTCAAGTAATAATCAATAGTTTTCTAAACACTAAGAAAGGCAAGAACTCTCTTTTATTCACTACTATAACCCTCATGCATGACTAATAGTAAATGTTCAATAAACACACCTACTCCCATCACTTAGGATAACATCTGACACCTGGTGAATATTAAGTCAATATTTGCCAAATTAACTATAATTTAATTTTAATAGCAAATACAGTATTTATTAAGTACTTATAAGAGCCAGGCACTATTTTACCTGTGTTACATGAGTTCATTCATTTAATACCAAACCAACAAGATAAAATAGGTCAGTGATTATTATTCCCATTTATGCTTAAGAAACTGAAGCCAAGATAGAAAAGTAACTTGCTATTCAAGGCCATAAAGCTAGAACACAATCATATAGCATATAAAAGAAAAATCAGCTTTTAATATTAGAATATGGTCTCATATGTTTGAGCTCAGGGGTTCAAGGTTACAGTAAGCTGTGATTGAGCCACTGCCCTTCAGCCTGGGTGACAGAATGAGACCCAGTCTCTAAAATAAATGATTTAAAACAAGAATATGGCCCCATAATATTATAAAATCTGATTAACTGCACAATGATGAGATTAGGCTAATGTTTAATATAATAGAGAATAAGAAGTAGAAGAGAAGAAAATGGAAAGTAGAGAGAGTAAGCGAGGAAATGAAGAAGCGGGGAAGGACTAAAGACAGTAATCAAGTTAAGCCTCAGGTTCACAGCTGGTTGGGGCATTAAGGATGAAGGTAGAGATCAATTGAGTAATAATTATGCTAACAAGAGATGGAAACATCTGGTTGTTTAGCTGACCCTTGTATTCCTCCAAATCTCTTCTTTCACCTCTCAGGCACTTTTGCCCTAGCCTCCTCTCAAACCCAAAGGCAATTTAGCATACATGGATCTGTATGGAACTGCCTGACGTTAGAGAAGAATAGTGGGATAGGGTCGTCTGGGACAAGGAGGAATATTTATTGCATATAGCTGCCTTGCCAGGATAAAATCTGACTCTATGTTTCCTGAAATATGATTTCTTAATCATAAAAGATGTTTAATAACAGTTCTTTGGCTTAAGTCAAAGTGAGATTTCCCTACTAATGATCTGGGCACTTACTGGCTACTTTTAGTCATTTAGATTTTAATTACAAAGCCTTAATTGGTTCTTATCGATTTTCCTTTTTTTTTTATAAGATGGAGTTTTGCTCTTGTTACCCAGGCTGGAGTGTAATGGCCCGATCTCGGCTCACCACAACCTCCACCTGCTGGGTTCAGGCAATTCTCCTGCCTCAGCCTCCTAAGTAGCTGGGATTACAGGCACACACCACCATGCACAGCTAATTTCCTGTATTTTTAGTAGACGGGGTTTCACCATGTTGACCAGGATGGTCTCGATCTCTTGACCTCGTGATCCACCCACCTCGGCCTCCCAAAGTGCTGGGATTATAGACTTGAGCCACCGCGCCTGACCGATATTTCCATTTTTTAACTAAAGCAAAATTATTTTACTATTTTTTTATCTTCTATTGCATCTACTGAATCTATCTCTCTGGCTAGAATGTAGGCTCCTTAATGGTAGAAACTGCACCTAATTCACATATCAGTTCCTGCCAGTTGGAGTAAAGGAATGCAAAAGCTATGTTTATGAGTTTGTCTCTTTTTAAAAGTAACTTTAAAATTACAAACTAATATATGACCATTAAAATAAGTGAAACAATCTAAAGTAAAAAAAAAAAAAGTTAGGCATCCTTATTCCTTCCATTCAACATTCCCAAAATAACTAATATTATTTGTATTTGGTATTATATTTGTGGTGTTATTTGTAATTTGTATTCTTTCTTGCTTATACCCATCTCCATGCTTACATGACTATGTAATCATAGTTGAGAGTTTCTGTTGCTTTTTAATATAAAATGGAATCATACTATACTCTTTATCCAGATATTCTAACCCAAAGCTAGACCATGGTTTTCTTTTTTTTAAACAATACACATTTAGAAGTTGCAATTCTCGTCTCTGATAAAATAGACTTTAAAGCAACAAAGATCAAAAGAGACAAAGAAGAACATTACATAATGGTAAAAGGATCAATGATACAAGAAGAGCTAATGATCCTAAATATATATGCACTGAATACAGGAGCATCCAGATACATAAGGCAAGTTCTTAATGAATGAAAAAGAGACTTAGACTCCCACACAATAATAGTGGGAGACTTTAACACTCCATTGTCAATATTAGACAGATCAACAAGACAGAAAATTAACAAGGATATCCAGGACTTGAACTCAGACCTGGACCAAGCAAACCTAATAGACATTTACAGAACTCTCCATCCCAAATCCACAGAATATACATTCTTCTCAGGACCACATCACACACACTCTAAAATTGACCACATAATTGGAAGTAAATCACTGTGCAGCAAATGCAAAAGAACCAAAATCATAACAAACAGTCTCTCAGACCACAGTGCAATCAAGTTAGAACTCAGAATTCAGAAACTAACTCAGAACCGCACAGCTTCATGGAAACTGAACAACTGGCTCTTGAATGTTGACTCGATAAACAATGAAATGAAGGCAGAAATAAAGATGTTCTTCGAAACCAATGAGAATGAAGACACAAAATACCAGAATCTCTGGGACACATTTAAAGCAGTGTCTAGAGAAAAATATATAGCAATAAGTGCCCACATGAGAAGCAAGGAGAGATCCAAAATTGACATCCTATCGTCAAAATTGAAAGAGCTAGAGGAGCAAGATTTAAAAAACCCAAAACCTAGCAAGAGACAAGAAATAACTAAGAACAGAGCAGAACTGAAGGAGATATTGACACAAAAAATTCTTCAAAAAATCAATAAATCCAGGAGCTGGTTTTTCGAAAAGATCAACAAAATAGACCACCAGCCAGATTAATAAAAAAGAAAAGAGAGAATAACCAAATAGATGCAATAAAAAATGATAAAAGGGATATCACCACCAATTCCACAGAAATTCAAACCATCATCAGATATTATTATAAACAACTCTATGCACATAAACTAGTAAACGTGGAAGAAATGGATAAATTCCTGGACACTTGCCTCCTCCCAAGACTAAAACAAGAAGAAGCTGAAACCCTGAACAGAACAATAAGAAGATCTGAAGCTGAGGCAGCAATTAAGAGCCTACCACCCAAAAAAAGCCCAGGTCCAGATGGGTTACAGCCGAATTCTACCAGACACACAAAGAGGAGCTGATACCATTCCTTCTGAAACTATTCCAAATAATCCAAAAAGAGGGAATCCTTCCCAAATCATTTTATGAGACCAACATCATCTTGATACCAAAACCCGGCAGAGACTCAACAAGAAAAGAAAACTTCAGGCCAATATCCATGATGAACATAGACGCAAAAATCTTCAATAAAATAATGGCAAGCTGATTGCAACAGCACATCAAAAAGTTTATCCACCACAAGCAAGTAGGATTCATCCCAGGGATGCAAGCCTGGTTCAACACACACAAGTCTTTAAACGTAATTCACCACACAAACAGAACCAAAACCAAAAACCACATGATTATGTCAATTGATGCAGAGAAGGCCTTTGACAAAATTTAATAGCCCTTTATGCTAAAAACCCTCAATAAACTAGGTATTGACAAAACATATCTCAAAATAATAAAAGCTATTTATGATAAACCAACAGACATTATCATACTGAATGGGCAAAAACTGGAAGCATTCCCTTTGAAATCTGGCACTAGACAAGGATGCCCTCTCTCACCACTCTTATTCAATATAGCACTGGGAGTTCTATCCAGAGCAATAAGGCAAGAAAAAGAAATAAAGGGTATTAAATAGGAAAGGAGGAAGCCAAATTTTCTCTATTTGCAGATGACATGATTGTATATCTAGAAGACCCCATTTTCTCAGCCCAAAAATCTCCTGAAACTGAGAAGCAACTTCAGCAAACTCTCAGGATACAAAATCAATGTGCAAAAATCACAAGCATTCCTATACGCCAATAACAGACTTAAAGAGAGCCAAATCAAGAATGAACTACCATTCACAATTGCTACAAAGAGAATAAAATACCTAGAAATACAACTAACAAAGAATATAAAGGACCTCTTCAAGAAGAACTACAAACCACTGCTCAATGAAATAAGAGAGGACACAAACAGATGGAGAAACATTCCATGTTCATGGTTAGGAAGAATCAATATCGTGAAAATGGCCATACTGCCCAAAGTAATTTATAGATTCAGTGCTACCCCCATCAAGCTACCAATGAACTTCTTCACAGAACTGGAAAAACCACCTTAAACTTTATATGGAACCAAAAGATAGCCCGCATAGCCAAGTCAATTCTAAGCAAAAAGAACACAGCAGGAGGCATCACACTACTGGACTTCAAACTATACTACAAGGCTACAGTAATCAAAACAGCAATGTAATGGTAGCAAAACAACGATATAGACCAATGGAACAGAACAGAGGCCTCGGAGGCAATGCAACATATCTACAACCATCCGATCTTTGACAAACCTGACAAAAACAAGCAATGTGAAAAGGATTCTTTGTTTAATAAATGGTGTTGGGAAAACTGGCTAGCCATGTGCAGAAAGCAGAAACTGGACCCCTTCCTGACACCTTACACTAAAATTTACTCCAGAAGGATTAAAGACTTAAACATAAGACCTAACACCATAAAAACCCTAGAAGAAAATCTAGGCAAAACCATTCAGGACATAGGAGTAGGCAAGGACTTCATGAACAAAACACCAAAAGCACTGGCAACAGAAGCCAAAATAGACAAATGGGACCTAATCAAACTCCACAGCTTCTGCATGGCAAAAGAAACAGTCATTAGAGTGAATCAGCAACCAACAGAATGGGAAAAAAATTTTGCAGTTTACCCATCTGACAAAGGGCTGATATCCAGAATTTAC